GCGGTCATTTTCCGGTGCATAGACTATATCCTGTGCCTCGAGAAGCACCTGTCGGTTCACTTCGAGGAGAATATGTATCTCAAATTATTGTATACAAACAAATCTCATCCTGGTGATTAATTGGGGTCTTATACTAAAGCAAATTATATGTATTTATAATCACTTTTTAGTTATTTTATGTAGAATTTTGTTATTAAATACAAAAAACTTTTTAAAATATTTGAAAATTTCAAGATTCGTACAAATATTATTGAATTTTATGACAAATATGAGTTTATAAATTATTAATTTTAAGTCTGTGACCACACTACAAATGATAATAATACTGTACATAGCATAATTGCACAGTCATTTAAAATATCTAAATATTGATATGGACTAAAGTGGGTTAGTAGACGAATTTAGCCGATGTTTAGGCACATCATTGTATTTATTGAATAAATGGTTACTATATACCGGGATGAATGCAAATAATTGTTAGCCCAAACTTAGAGTTCAGGGGAACCCAAGTGTGAACCAAACAGTCTGCAAGTCTAGGAAGAAGTGGTAACATCAGAGTGCATGTGATTGTGTAATATGACCACAACTGTCGAGAACTTAGGTCCAGCCATTGGGAGGGGACCCTATGGTCTTAAAGCATAAACTATTGGCCCATATCTATATCTTATAAGGCAGTTTCCATTCTATTAATATAGTGACAACTAACCTTGTAGCAACTTTGCATTTTAAAACTTTTGATTCAACACTAGTTATTTGATTATTTGACTACACTTCAAGTTAAAAGTCGTAATTTGAAAATTAATAATAAACTCCTTTTCATACAAACAAATATTTAGTAGTCATAAACTTGGTTATTATACATTTTGCTTATTATAAATACATATGATAGGCTTTCTGTAAGAAAGAGCTACCTCTAAATACAAATATATGAATAATTTGATGAGTTATATTTAAACCTTATTTAGTTTACCCATATTATTCATAATTACTCATCAAATTATTCGTATATTTGTATTTAGAGATAGCCTATCATATGATTAACAAATATTCACAAATATAATATCAACATATTAGTTTTTAAATCAAACACTACATTGATTAGTAAGGTGAGTAAGATATAACTAAATCATATATAAATAACATAACTAGTGTTGAATGAAATGCTTGAAAATGTAAAGTTGTTACAAGGCTAGTTGTCACTTAAGTGACGGTATGAAAACCAGTGTTATAAGGTATTGCATTTAAGAAATAAGCAATCACAATTAAAATATCTCTTTTGTATTGCGCCCACAAATTTAATCATGAAAATTATGCATTATTCATATAGTAATTGATATAAGGTTACTTTGTTGGTTAATCTTACTAATTTCGAATTAAAGTAATTTAAATTCAGTTAATAATTATCCAACTATTGCATGAACAATTATTTGCAATAATTTGTGGATGTTAATTTATACTATTAATGTATACATTGTATAGCTTTAAGTGTATAGTCAAATTAATATAACTTGTTTTAAATAAGTTAATTCAATTGTAATGTGAATGAGTATTACAATGTCGTGTCAAGTGAGTATTACTTAATCGCTATAATTTAGAAGTCAATCAATTACCAGGGTGACATTTATTTATTCATTATGCATGGTCAAGGTTAATACAGATATTTAATACATTGTTATAAAATAGAAAATATTATATCTTTATGTCGAATATAACAAACTATAAGTTATCGGAGGTGTACTGTCAGGCGTCGGTTGATATAACCAAACAAAATATGTACAACAGTTCAAAATGTATGACAAATCAAATTGTATACATTCTGTATGACTACTGGATTGAGGAGTCCGACCCTCGGATAAAGGGTCAACTCGACAGTCCATGTGATTATGTATTCATATTATCTATTGTCGGCATTTGGACCCCAAATACAGCCCTATTTATGGTGGAAGCGATATATCACACGATTGCAGTTAATACAGTTCGCTATACTTATAGTCTATGCCATCATATTGTTCACAGTCATGGATCTGTCCGACTATCCCATTGCCATCAAATGGATAGTCATTGTCCAGCCATTCATCTTCTTTTATATGTTTTGCAAGTTTTACTTTAAAACATAGAAATAAAACTAAACCCATTAAAAGGAATTGAATATAAAATTGGTTTAGATTTATTTTTCAAAATTCAAGGTTCTTTATTTGTATAATTTTAAATTTATTTTAATATTTAAATTGAATGGCAATTAGCAGTAAGTTTTTTTATTTTTCTAAATTTACCATGTTTATTCTAAATATGGATGTCTTAAAGTAAAATAGTTTAAGAGTTGTTTATTGTATTTAAATAAATCATTTTGTAAAAGTCATTATTTTTTAATGCCAAAAATATTTTTGGAAAAGTTATGAAAACTAAAATTATTGGTAACAATAACCCGATCAAGAATTTTTCGTTATATTTTTAAATATTTAAAACTATTAAAATCAGTTACTATTTAACTGTTAAATTTTAACACAACTTCAAAAAATGAGTGATAAATACAAGAGTAGTGCCAAAGACAGTGGACCTCCTATTAAGACACCGGTTGTCCGAATACAAATGGTTTACGATTTCTCATGAGATATGGACCCAATTTAGTGACAAATATTAACCAGGATAACATTATTGATACAAATATTTCAGGCCCACCACCCATAAGAGCATAACCCTTAAGACGTTCATCGGTTGTATCGACCCAATACTGGTGTAACAAATAAATAAATGAATCCAAATTCATTGTACAAATTGTATGTTTAATAACTCTGGTAAATGTTTATCAGTAAATGATTGAAGAAAAGTTTTTCTTTTAAATGTTTTGTCCAAACAATTTACTGTACGAGTACTGAATACATTTAATATAAATCTAATTTATTAATTTGAATGTAGTAGGCTATTGTATTTAATTTATTATGCTAATTGCAAGTTTAGAGATAATTTTTAGTGTTTATTAGTTATTTATTATAATAGTAATTGTAAAATGTGGCTAGCTTATTAATTCAAAATAAAACCAAGGAAGTTTAATGAATTAATAAATTATAATATAATATATTCATTGTATATAATATTTATAGACATTGAGAGTCGGGTGCGCCGGGAGATCGCAAATCATAGGGAGAGACAACGTGTGAAGAGTATTAACGACGGGATTAAGACATTGAGACAAATGCTGCGCTCGGATGACAGCAATACTATCAGCAAATCGGCGGTCCTTTTCTGGTGCGCCGACTATATCCTGTGCCTCGAGAAGCACCTGTCGGTCCACATCGAGGAGAATATTTATCTCTAATTATTGCCGATAAACAAATCTCATCCTGATGATTAATTGGTGTCTTATACTGTATTAAAGCAAATTATATGTATTCTAGTTACATTATGTAGAATTTTGTTATTAAATGCAATAAACCTTTTAAAAAATTTGGAATTTTCAAGATTCGTACGAATATGATTGAATTTTATCATAAATATGAGTTTATAAATTTTTAATTTTAAAATAAGTATGTGGCCACACTACAAATAATAATTACTCAGTCATTTAAAATATCTAAATATAATATATTGAATTTAAGAAATAAGCAATCACAATTAGAATATCTCTTTTGAATTGCTCTCACGAATTTAATCATGAAAATTATCCATTGATTCATATAGTAATTTAAATAATGTTACCTTGGTTGGTTAATCTTATTAATTACGAATTAAAGTAATTCAAATTCAGTTAACAATTCCCCAACTATTGCATGAACAATTATTTACTTAATTTGTGGATATTAATGTATAGGCTTTAAGTGTATAATCAAATTAATATAACTGATTTTAAATAAATTAATTCACTTGTAATGTGAATGAGTATTACAATGTCGTGTCAAGTGGATATTACTTAATCGCTATAATTTAGAAGTCAATCAATTACCAGGGTGACATTTATTTATTCATTATGCATGGTCAAGGTTAATTCAGATATTTAATACATTGTTATAAAATAGAAAATATTATATCTTTATGTCGAATATAACAAACTATAAGTTATCGGAGGCCTACTGTCCGGTTAATTACTAAAGTACTTAACTATCTTCGTGTTTATATAGTTTTTCATTATAAATGAATTTTATAATGATAATTGTAATTTATTGTGAACTGATACTATATTTAGACTTTAATGCATAATACTCTGTATGTAGTGCACTGGAAAACAATTAAAAATTTCTATTGCCTACAAAACTTTTGGTTATATTCTTAATTAAACATCCTATTAATTAATCCGCACTTAATGAACTAATTAAGTACAGGACTTGTTTTAACGTATGTCTACTATTTTTAATTATACACTACGTTTTTAATATTATGAAACATTTAATATTTTAATCACATAAAATAATAATAAAAATTAGAGTTAAATTTATTTATTTCATATAACATTTAACATTGTACATTGTATTGTTTAATTAAATTATATTCACTAAATTATACAATGTTAATTATAATACAATTACAATAATACAATTATAATTATACATTACTTCATTTATTTATAATAATTTTGTATAATATTTTATGTTTTTTTATTTTGCAATATTGTATTTTTATTATTAATTATAATCGAAGTAGTATACGATATAGTTATATTATTCACTAGCAAATCTTTTGCCTTAAAGATTTATAATTTTAAATATAATTCAGTATGAATATAAGTTAATAACCGCAATTCACATCAGATATTCTGGTTAACTACTTATGTTACAAATAATAAGAAATCAAATACATTATAGTGAATTATGAATTATTGATTTTTTATTTTATATGAATTTATATAAAACTTTAAAAACAAGTAGCAGAAAACAAAAGGTTGAGTATAGCCCACAAATTTGACAGAGTCTGGATAATTATTCATATCTCCATCTATGCAACAATAAAAAGCATAGACAATAAACAAGGCAAATTGTATTAACTGCAATCGTGTGATATATCGCTTCCACCATAAATAGGGCTGTATTTGGGGTCCAAATGCTGACAATAAGTAATACAAATACATGACTGTATGGACAGTAGAGTTGAGCAAACAAATCACTTCCCCAATCACTGTTTGCGGACATTGTTTAACCACAAGGTAACCCATTAAAGGAACTGTGTATAAAATAGTTTAAAATTAATTGAGATTTTTAATATAATTATTAAATACCAATAAAATGGAGATAAACGTGAAGCATTGAGACTTGATTTGACTTTTTTCTCAATACAAAAATGATGTGTCCAGTAAATCAAATAACTTTGAATAGAAATAAACAACTTTTTCGGGCAACTCTTGTATGGCTTTCTGAGACCATTGGTTACTCGGGGGTAGTCTTGGGTTCCATGACTTGCGGTCAAACTCTAGCCATTTGAGTGAAGTGTATATGAAGTATGCGTTTATCACAACTAATACCAAGTTATATGCTATCATTATTTCCCGCAATACAAATGGTTTGCGATTTCTCATAAAATTTGGACCTAATTTAGTGACAAACAATAACCATGATAACATAATTAATATAAATAAACCAGGTCCTCCGCCAATAAGTGGATAATCTTTCATATGTTCATCGGTGTCGACCCAATACTCGTGTAATAAATACACAATTGAGTCCAAACTCATGGTAGGCATTGTTATTCTTAAAGTATTTTATTAATATGTGTTAAACGTGAAACTAAATTAAATTTTAGAGACATCTGTTTCGTAATTAAGTCACTATTTGCTAATAAAAGTTTAATTAGACGTTAATTTTTAATAAGTAATTTATTTTAGATTGTGACATATTTTCAGGAATTTTTTAGAAATTATATACAAACATTTCGCAACAGATTTTTATGTAACTTCATATTAATTAATTTGCTATTTATTTGAAGTGATTGATTGAGTTTAGAATTTTCATGTAATAGGATTTAGTATAAATTATGTTTATTTTTTGTATAGAGACTTATATCATAAAAATAAATTAATATTTTATTACTAATGTCATAAAATAACACTTATTTTGTTATGACTTGGTAAAGTATATAAAATATTATAGTGAAAAATATTGATTTGCATTTTAATTTATATTATTGTATCTGATAAAATATCAGTGATAATATTAAACTAATTAGACAATTATATAATTTAATTATATTTTAANCATATACTTATAATGTGTATTTGTAATGAATGTCTGGGTTTAGGGATTACTCGGCCTCTGAGTTGGGTTGGATGGACGCCTTCAATCCTGCGACGGCTTTCATCGACGCGTTTGCGTCCATTGGATGGGCATATGATCTGAAGAAAGCATCGGATGATATGGTGAAGAAGCGACAGACCAGATGTGGTGACGTTCACTACAAACATGAATTTCGGTTTATGGAGCAGTTGACCGGCTCATTCGTGTTGACACTTCCCGTATGGTCTCTATTCCTAATCAGAATGAATGTATGGCTTATGACAGTAGTAGTGGTCGTCATATAACTTGTGGGGAACCAACCGAACGGCTTCTCTCGCAAACAAAAAGTTAAATAAATTTAACAAAAGTTAAATGTATTTGAAAATATATTTTTCTATGATATTCCTAGATAAGACTTTATTAAAAATTAATATTCTATTGTACCTTAAAAATAATTGTGATTTGTTGAATTGTAATAAAAACATTTATTATTCAGTAAAATCTATTTAAAATTTTCAAAATGGTGATTAAATTAATTTTCTTATATAAAATAAAACTACAAATAATTAAAGATTAACCAAATATTCTGTTAATTGTTTAATTAAGGTATATATAGAGTATTTTATTACAAACCAAGGATTTAATCTTAAAAGTTAAGGTATTAATAGTGAGAATATTTTGGTGATAAGTACACCAAAATGTTAATAAAGAATGAAATTTTTATTCCTGTATTACAAAATGTTCATAACTTTTATACCCTGGTCATAATTATATTGCAGAACTGCGCGTTTTTGATGCACAGAAAATGTTATACTTTTTTTCCAATGCTATCCAATGCAAGCACTCATTGATTCACTGCTTTACGACATTCACTGCAGTGCTTATCAAAAACGCGCAGTTCTGTTTTTGTAATATAATTATGACCAGGGTATAAAAGTTATGAACATTTTGTAATACAGGAATAAAAATTTCATTCTTTATTGACATTTTGGTGTACTTATCACCAAAATATTCTCACTATTAAT